GAATTTTGTTCATAAGCCTCCCCCAAAACAACACATTGCAACAGGTTGAATACTTCAGCAAATATAAAAATTCAACTCTCTTCTACTTAGACATCATAGATTTACAAAAATGGAAAAAATGTCACCTTTATCACTAATTTTCGTTTTGTAAAATATAGTTATTTTCATAAAAATACATTAAGTTGACATGTACTTGGTTCTTCATTGTTACTTTTAAATGATTTAACGTAGATTTAAAAACTTTTTCCTGAGTAAATACTGATAGGTATAACCCCAATAAGCAAAAGTTCTTTGGTATCCCAATAATATTTTATTTAAAAAATATGTTTTTATTGATTTCAGAGGGAGGAAGGGAGAGGATAGAGAGATAGAAACATCAATGAGAAAGAATCATTGATCGGCTGCCTCCTGCATGCCCCATACTGGGGATCAAGCCCGCAAGCTGGGCATGTGCCCTGACCAGGAATTGAACCATGACCTCCTGGTTCATAAGCTGATGCTCAACTACTGAGCCACACTGGCCGGGCTGCTGCCCCAATAATTTTTAAGAGTGTGAAGGAGTCCTGAGATCAGAGAGTTTGAGAACCATAGCATTGAGAGTGCTGCCTTTCAATGTCTTATAAACTTGTTCTTCCCTGTCCCTCCAGCAGTGTGTCTCTTGTGCCCATTATAATAAAGAGAACATTTACATAAACTTTGGCACTGGTACATGTTGTAATATTTGCATAATGTTTGGAAAGAAAATAGCTTAAAAAAAGGCATTGCCAATTGGATCTATTTTTTTTTTTTACAGGTCTTTCTTTATAAGTCATTTCTATTAGCCGTGCCTTGCTATGGATGTTTATAACAAAACATTAAAGACGGGGTAGAACGGGGAAAACAAATTACTCTGCAGAGAACCCAGCCACTCTGCTAAAATACTGTCAGTTATTTATCTACTGTCAGCAGAGGTTGCACACTATAATCCTTGACAAGCTCAGATTCAGAAAGAATGAAGAGAGGGGCAAGCATTGCATTTAAGGGCCTGTTCTCATGCGCAGACATTTTAACACAGATTTAAAGCCAGAATGTATCTTCCAGAAAATGTCACTTTTGATTTTGATACATACTCTAGCAAGCAGGCTCTACATTTGGTTGACTTAGTACGAGATATGTTAGAGGCTAACGCTATATTTTAGACCATTCATGATCCCCATGTGGAACTAACACAATGAGGTCAGCATCACTTCATTTTTAGAGTTGGCTACTGCGACTGCATGAGTTCATGGGCATATTTTTTACGAGAAGAAGGAGGGCTTTATTTTTGTTTTGTTAGGCAAGGTAATGAATGACAGGCTCGAAGAATCCTCTCTAGTGTCCATTTCTCCTTTGTGTTTACAGGGGAAACAATCATTACTGCATCTTCTTGTTCTGAAATACTTTCTGAAAATATACATGGCCAAGGCAGAAATGCAACAGACAGAAGAACTTCCGGCTGCCAATTTTAAAGAAAACCCACCTTCAAGCAGGTAGCTCAACTAGCTCAGCATACGGACAAAAAACATGTGCAACGCACGGTTATGGGGGAGGCTCCAACTCAGAAGGCAGGATAACGAATACACCCCGGTCGTTTCTAGTAGAAAACCATGGTGTTTTTTTTTTTTATCATACAGTTCTTATTGACTGGTCAATTAGATGATCCCTACCCATGCGATCAGAGGTCTAAATAAATGTGTGCTTGTAACTGGGGATGTTTGACGAACGCCGAACCAGAATCTTAATTTTCTAATTCATATTCACCAATTAAAAATAAACTGTATTTTTATGAGCGAATTTACATAAATCAGATGATAAAGCACCTACCACTAAAGGGTAGGAGTTCAGCTCACAACATTTGCATACATCCTCCTAAAGAAAACGTAGGCGTCTGAGATTTCCATGGAAGAGTCTTGCTGCGCTGGAACTCTAATGGGCTTAGAACAGTAAATTTTGAAGAAACTGATTGCTATCCCTGTAGCTAGTAAATGTCTGCCTAGACCCAGTGGCATTTGAAAAAAGTGTTTTATCATAAAATTATCCCAGCAGAGTCCATTCTGCGAGATAACATCATCATCATCATCATCAGTACTCCATGCAGGACCCATCCGCTCTGGCACAATATTGCCAGTCATTTATCTGTTGTCAGCACAGGTTACACACTGTAATCCTTGACTGCCTCGGAATTAGAATGTCTTTGATGTCCCCACAAGAGTTTTTTGCCCGAAGGCTTTACCAATGCTCGGCGGCTCAGTGTTTATTCCTCGTAATCTTCCTCTCATCTCCAGGCTAGCAGTGACAGATGGTTATGGGCACACAATAGTATTAAGAGTTTGATATTTTTTTTTTTTATGCTGTGCTCTCTGTACAACAAATAGCTATCAGACGCGGGCCAGAGAGCTGACATGGCTCGCTTAGGTAATGGCAAACAAACAGCCGGGGCTGATGCGTTCTGTCATTTCCCCTCCTAACCCTGCTTGTTTTCATTGTAGACTCTCAAAGGTAAACTATATTAACCTTATAGACTGTTATTAAAAAGATATATCTATATGAGCATAAAGTGCCTTTCTTTCCTCTTTTTCTTACTCTTTTGATTATGAAAGTAATACTGCTGACATATTGAACAAATATCGAATGTCAACATAAATTTTTAGTGTGTGATAATATCCCCCTTCATATAGCTGTGTGTCAGGCGGGAACCCGCGGATGATGCATAGCAGTAAATAACCCAAACAAAATTAGTTCTCTTGTCAGCTTCTACCTTGTATGTCCCCAGGCATCAGTAAAATTGACTGCACGCTAGATTTTCAAAATTAGCCCTAATGTTAGCTATGTGTCTGGCAACCTCCAAGTTTCCAATGTTCTACTATATTACCCGTAAGGATGAATGTGTTACTTTTATATTTTGGCATTTACTCTTGCTGATGCGGCTTTTTCCCCCTCTTCTCCAAATTAAAAATAATTTAGCTTTAACAATAAGAATGTGCACAAACATAATGCTGCATCTCTTTAAGCAACTAACTTTAGGCAATTAAATTAAATTAAAGCAAAAATATACAAAGGAAGAGAGGGAATTATTCAATTTAATATTGTTAATGTTATTAACATAGCTCTGTCTTATTTTGTGCAACGTATTAGATAACGCGTTTCTCACCCAGGGTGCTGCCTTGCAATAGGAGACTACAGATGATGTAATTTAGCATTTTTATGCTAACCCGGAACTAAACTTTGTAGAACTGATTTCCTTGCAATAAATATTATTTCAGAGACAAAGGTTAGCTGAACAAATGGAAAAGCTTTTCAAAAGGGAGTAAATGATGACATCTATTTTACCTCGAAATAGGTTGATCTAATCCAGACCCACTGCATTAAAAACAAACAAACAAAAAACAGAAAGGGATCCTGAACATTGCCACAGTCTAAGTAAAACATGATTTAAAAATGATGCTCCCTCAGTAAGGCTACGCTGGAAATGTGAAGCTGAATAGACAAATCCAAAAACAGAGTCCACGTCGACTTTCAATCTCTAAATTTTATGTTCATACATTTAGCGTCAAAGATGAAAATCCCTTTAGGTACCAGATGCTGCAGATCAACCGGAAGGCTTCCGGGGTTTAATGTGTACAAGACGAATCCGCGGCAAAGGCGCTTTGCCCGGCGGGTGTGTGCGCTTATTCCTTCACCTGTAAGCAGTTGCTCTCAGAACATCGGACCTGATGGCCGGCCCAGCATCTCTGCAATAAAGAGCCGGTTCTCTGCGGGGGGAGTGAACCCTCATCAGGCCACATGCAGATTAAACTATGGGGAGGAATGAAAACTAGATTAACATGTTCACGCCTAAGACCAGAAGATTAGCAGGACACTTTACCTCTTTAAATCCCAATTTATAGGAGCCAGGGTTAAGTTCCGGAGTTTACATGTGGTGCGATTATCTGTTCCAGTTTACTTTCCTCCTCCGTATAGAAAAGAGTCTCGCAGGAAGTACTGCGCTTAGCACAACACAGAGGTCCTTGGGGGCCGGGAAATGGTTTCAAATGTGCTGGTACACAACACAAGGGAAATAGGCACCCAGTTGAAACTGGTCAAATTAGTAAATATTGGAAATTGTTTTGTTCTCATGGTAATTCTGCTTTAGCAATGTATACAAATGAAAATTTTGTGATAAACAGTATATATATTACTTATAACATATATTACATATATGTAATCCTGTTGTTATACTTTGAAACTTTTTTCTTTTTTTGGTTAATCCTCACTCAAGGATATTTTTCCATTGATTTTTAGAAAGTGGAAGGGAGGGGAGAGACAGAAAGAGAAAAATATCGATGTGAGAGAGAGACATCCCACAGGGCAAGGGATTGAGCTTGCAACTGAGGTACATGACCTTGACCAGAATTGGCCCTTGACCAGAATCGAACCTTGACTAGAATTGAGCCTGGGACACTTCAGTCTACAGGCCGAAGCTCTATCCAGCGATTCTCAACCTGTGGGTCACAACCACCGGAAAACACATATAGCATATCAGATATTTACATTACGATTCATAACACTAGCAAAATTACAGCTATGAAGTAGCAACGGAAATAATTTTATGGTTGGGGGTCACCACAACATGAGGAACTGTATTAAAGGGTGGAGGCATTAGGAAGGTTATAAGTTATCCACTGAGCCAAACTGGCTAGGGCTACTTTGAAACTTCTTGAACAAGATTTGCTTTCTTAGAAGTGCCTAGCTACCATTGTTAGTTGAGCAAATTATCTGTAATTGAGTAATTATCTGTAATTCAAAAACTGAAATTTGATCGAAGCACACAACTATTTATATAGTCATTGTGTAGTGTCACCTGGCACCCACTAGTAGTACTGGACACTAAAATGATATTTTCCTACAGCTCCAGCAACAACAACTTACTCAGTCAATCACCAGAACATATCTTGTATGACCAGTTCTATAACTCTTACTAAATGGGTGTGTCATAAACTTACCACCTGTGAGGCCAGACAATGTGCAATGGTCTTTGTTGATCATCAACCCCACTCAAAATGTCGTACGGATTTTGTTGATTTTCCCCATGATGAGAGCTGGAATTATCTGATGAGTCACACGTTTTCAAGTATGGCTCCTGCGTCAATGAGCTCCCCAGGCTCTCTTGTTGTGCCACATCACAAGGTCCAGACTCTGGCTCAACATGATCCAACACATTCTCGCAACTTCCCTGCTCCTGCCTGGAAGGAAGGGCCGTGGATGGAGCGGCACCGCCGTTTCCTTTAAGGTTGAGCATCTTCTGTAAATGGGCTGCTTTATGCTTGGGCACGAATCTGTTATGAAAAGGAAACGCAAGAGTCTTTCAGCAAAGATACTATTTAAAATGTCCCCTTGACCTTCCTGTAAGGACGTGATGATGATGTCTAAAACTGAGAAAAAAAATAAAGACATAACAAAAATTCCAGAAAAAGAGCAAAAAGTAGCAGCCATCAAGAGAAAGTTCAAAAGTTTGAAACTGGACCCGATTGTCTTTGAACAGTTTCCAAAGAATGTCAGTGGCTATAAAACTTGCAGTGCACACACAGAAAGTGAAACAGAGCAAAGGTTTCCAGTCTTCCTCACTCACATTCTGGAGCTCACTTCATGTTCCAGTTGCCACATGCCCCGGGGCTCACTTTCAATCTCAGTTCATTCTCTTATCAAAATGCTTGACACTTCCTGGGTTAACACCAGGCATTTCTGCGCACATGACTTTCTGTATTCCTGCGCACCTGCACACACTTTTGTCACATCGACCCTACTAATATTTTGTGAAGTATGTGTGAGATTACCGAAGGTAGAAGCATCTACATAAAATGAAATCAAGGAGTTCATCATCATTTGGGGAGCAACCCAGCAGTGCTTAGAAAAGACAGGGTGGGAGACAGGTGTGAACCACCAGTTAACCTGGGGCGGGGGGACACAGTATGCAAAGAACAGACACAAGCTTTTCAACCCGGGAACTAGAGATCAGTTCTGACTTAGGACTTAGTAGAGCCTGAGTCTTAGTGGAGGATTTAGAGAGGCAGAGAGGTGGGGTTCTGGATTGAGGAAAAGCACGACCAGAAGGAAGGGGTGTGAAAGAACATGAACCCCACAGGGAATGATATGCAGCCCAAAGAGGCTTGGCCAGGCCTTGGGGTCTGAGGTCTAGAGGGGCGACTGGGCTAGATACAAGGGCTTTCTGGGTCCCTGGCCCATCCAGAGACTCGCTCCCTCCCCTGAATTGCTGAATGAGTGAAGAAATGGAGAGTACATACGTTTAAGAGGTAGGTGAGGATTAGGAACCAGGAAAGGGGAGCAATAGGAGTAACTGGAAGAGTAGGAAGTAAATCTGAGATGTAATATCTCACAATTGAAGTGAATTAAGAGCCCCAAAAGAATGTGTAAAAAGGGCGTAAAACATTACAGAGGTGCCATAGCACCAGAAACTAGGAGTTTTGGGCCTTGATACATAGAGGATCAGTGCCTACTCCAAGGGCAGTTCCGCTGGAGGGAGCAGGAAGAAGCCGGACTGAAGGTTAGGGTATGTGCACATGAGCGGGCGGGCACAGAAAGAGAGGGCAAGAGGACAGCAAGGAAGGCAAGGTGAGTTCCTCTTAATAGGGCATGTGTGCACAGGGTAGTACTGGGGCTCCCTTTCAGACACCTGCTAGGGACAGGAGCAGGATGAAAAAGGGTTTCAGGTGGGAGGTGTGGCATCTAAGGTGTGACACCAAAGCATTAGGAGAGGTCATCTTTCAAGAGAGGTGGGCAGAGGTGGAGATGGAGTTTAAGAAGTGAGCTGAGCCTGGCTGGTGTGGCTCAGTGGTTGAGCATCAACCCATGAACCAAGAGGTCACTGGTTCAATTCTTAGTCAAGGCACATGTCCAGGTTGTGGGCTTGATCCTCAGTAGGTAGTCAATCAATGTTTCTCTCGCATCAGTATTTTTATCTCTCTATCCCTCTCCCTTCCTCTCTCTCTCTCTCTAAAAAAAAATCAGTAAAGACATATGTTTTAAAAAAAGAAAGCTGAGAGATCAGAACCTTCTCTTTGGAGAGGAGTGGAAGGGAAGAGGGCATTCACTAGTTCTCAAAGTGGTGCCCGATGAGCAACACTAAGGAGTGGTGGTGGTGGGGGGGCGGGGGTGGGGGCTGAGTGCTGTCTGGCTGTCATGTGCTGTGTATATTCCAGAATCAAAAAGCTTACTTGGGGGAGAGGGGCTTCTGTGCTTGTTTCACAGAAGCCTTTTGAGACCTGAATATATAAGGAGCCCCTTCCACCAAGACATAAGTAGACAAAGAATGGCGCTAACCCTCTTGGTATGCCCTAATAAAGTAAATTAATTCTTGATTTACAATGGAAAGAAACTTGGGCATATGCGGATTACAATTTCAGATCTCACAGGTCCAAAATATGTAAGGGAACTAACCAACTTTCTTCTAATACAAATTCAAAATACTGAGGAAATGCTAAAGAATTAAAGATCAATTGTTCATTGATCAACACAAAAATTTAAAAAAGAGTAGAACAATATCTTCAACTTCTCCTAAACAAGTGGAACAAACAATAAGAGAAGGAACATCTGTACACATCAGCAAAACAACAATAAAGCAAGTGAGGGGACCTGCTTCTTTCAGTCAGATAAGGAATGCCAGGGAAGCTTACAAAAGATTTTAACAGAATTACAAGCTCAGCGCATGAAGAAGTCACAATTTAGAAAAAAAAAAAAAATTGATAAGCATTAAAACAACATATCTTCCTTTTAGAAAACAGTATCATGACCCAGCTCACTCATAAAATCCATTTAAAGGGTCCAGCATGTAAGCAAAAGAGACCGGAGGTTGGCTAAAGGGTGGTAAACAATGGGAATTGGTAACTGACAGGGAATTTAGCTGTGGGCAAGGTGCTAGGCCTGCTTTTAGTCAACACGTTTCCTAAACATTCTCAAGGATGAACAGAAACCCATGCTCACACAGGCTGTGATGACTGACTTGATAGATGGTGGTGAATGAGGGCCCAGAACGATGCTGAATATAAATATGAGCAGTAACACAAAACTCCACTTCCCCGTGCGATGAAATTGCCAAAATAAAAGTCAACCTGAATGCAAACAGAGCACATGGCAAGCACCATGGTGACGGCCTGGGGCCGACAGGGCGAGCCTGTGCTGATCAGACCAGGAAACTGATACGCTGCTTAGTTACAGATCACAGTGAACAGGGAGGGAACCCACCACGTCTGAGGGGACAGAATGCTGTGCGGATGCGGGTTTCATCTGGGCCACCTGATAACTGTATATATTTGAAAATTAGAGAGTTCTTCGAAGAGCAATAATAATGATTAAGGCAATGGAAGAATTGATTTATGAGGATAGATTAAAGGAGCTAAATATGAATAGCTTGGCTAAGTGACGACTAGAGGGGTACATAATAGGAGTCTCTAAGGAAAGAGAATAATTATTTAGCCTGCTACAAGGGGGTACAACTAGGAGTAATGAGATGAAATTAAGAATAGGAAAATTTAAGCTGAATTTCAAGAAAACCCCCCTGACGGTATAATTTATTATTAGCTCATGGAATAAATTCCCTATGGAAATGCTATAGCTAGGGAAAATAATAGGACTGGACAAAATACCAATAAATAATATAGATAATAATCCATTATTTGAAAGAAGGTGGTTACATGCTATGCGTTCCTTGTGTATAATATCTTCTCATATTTTTAATAGTCTATTTATATATAGTAATTGTTACCCAGAGGAGTATTTAGTCAATGAGCTAAATCTAAGAAGAAATATGTCCTTTAGTGAGGGGAGTTGAAATCACCTTAGTTGCCATATTTCAGCAGTAGTCAGCTGAAATAAGTTTTTACTCCTTTGTTTCAACCAAATTGATCTTGAAGTAGCTGGACAAATGTATTCATTTTCCAGAAAACAGAACACAACAAAATAAAACAACCCTCATCTACCACCCCACACAGAGTCCATTGCTTCTGGGTGCCACGAAACTCTTATTTTCATAGACGTGTTTCATACAAATTTATTGCCATAATAGAAATAAAAAAAAACTTTATCCCAGCTTTTCTAAACGTAGCTCTATGGTCAATTACTTCACATCAATACCCAGATCAAATAGGCATAATACTAACAAGCGGTTTGCTTCATAATAGTCACCACACTAATTAACCCATCCAGAACATTCCTAATCAGATGCTATTTGTAATGTACAGTTAAGAGGAGCCTGACAATAAATGGTGCCAGGCTAAAAAAAAAAAAGAAAATAACACCTTCCTGAGGGCAGGGGGTCGGGGGAGAAGCTTTTCTACAAAACTGGGCAGAGTGTCTGTCCGGGTTAACCCAGGGACGGGACTCTGCAAACAGGCACCAGCCCGAAAACGCCTCTCTCCGGCTCTGCTCCAACTCAGATGCAGGTGCTGATGAGACGAGGAAGAGCCCAGGCAGGAGTGAGAGAGTCAGACGGACACCACAGAGCTGCCTTGTAGCGCATATGCTGTTCACCATTTAACAATCCCCCATTTTTCCTTCAAGAAATGCTACTGCCCACAGAACATCTTTGAACCTGTTTTTACCTTCAGAAATATCCTGATTACTATAATAATCACTTCTAATCTGTTACTAGCCATGGGACCCCACCCGCAACATTTTTCCAGCCAATAGTCAATCTGGGCAACAGCAGTAGTCTACCTACTGTGCAACCTCTTCTATCAAATGCCCGTCTTCCTCTCACCTCTGCCCCCTGACATGGCTCCAGAGCCATTGCCACAAAAAGATTGAGTTGGACAATCTTTAAAGACACAGCTGGAGGGAGTACTATCTCGACCTACATTTGATTGCTTCCCGAACCCCTACGTCTAAACAAACACAGCTAGAGCTGAATCTATAGGAACGGCCAAAGGCCTCATTCAGATTAGTCAAGGAAAGACTAGATTTGAGAGAAGCATTAAAGGCTGTCATGATTAATGGAAAACACAGGGAATGTTCCAAGCATCTTAGTTATTTCTGCTGAAGTTTAGAAGCTACAGTCTGTGTAGTTGACTAACAGGGGTAGTTAAGAGGAAGGTGTTAAGACAAAGTAAGGCAATTTAGGATGTTAATATTGATTCATCTGTTGTTGAAGAGAATGTCATGGCTGAAATGTATGTCATGGTGTTATACGCTGCCTACAAATGTCTTTTTGAGAGATTTCAATAAAAAGAATACAGTGAGTTCAACCTATAGAATCTTTGAAATAATACTAACAGAGTCCTCAAGACAGAGATTCTGAATAGCCTTGCTTCTCAGACCAGATTTG